CTGTCTCTGGTGGATCCTCTCATCCCCTGCACCTTTGGCCTGTACCCCAGCTCTTGTATGCATAAATAAATAAATCTTTAAAAAAAAATAAAAGGGATATCAGAAAGAGAAATTAAGCTACCCCATTTCCAAGAGCATCAAAAAAAGAATAAGTAATCTAGGAGTAAGTTTAACTAAGAAAGTGCAAGATCTATACACTGAAAACTATAAGACATTGATGGGAAAAAACTGAAGCCACAAATAAGTGGAAAGAAATCTTATGCAGATGGATATTAACAATCAATATTATTAAAGTGTCCAGAATTCCAAAAGCAATCTATACATTCAATAAATCCCTCATCATATTCAGAGGCATTTTTCACAGAAATAGAACAGATAATCTTAAAATTTCTATGAAGCTAAAAGAAGCTGAATAGTTAAAATACTCTTGAGAAAGAAGAACAAAGTTGTATATTTCCTTATTTCAAAGTATATTACAAAAATATTACCAAAACAATATGGTTTGGCATATAAACAGATATAAATCAATGGAACAGAATAGAAATAAACCCACATGTATGTGGTTAGTTTATGACAAAGGAGTCAAGAACATACAATGGGAAAAGGATAATCTATTCAATAAGTGATGTGCAGATACATGCAAAAGAATGAAACTGAACCACTGTCTTTCACTACCTTTGAAAACTAACTGAAAGTGAACTAAACACTTAAATATAAGACCTGGAGTAATAAAACTCCTAGAAGAAAATAGCCAGTGAGCTCCTTGCTGTCAGTCAAGGTGATGATCTTTGAAATTTGACACCAAAAACAATGGCAACAAAAGCAAAAATATACAAAGGGACTACATCAAACTGAAAAGTTTCTGCACATCTAAGGATTCATCAATAAAATGAAAAGACAACCTGCCAAATAGGAGGAAATATTTGCAAATCACATATCCCTGATAAGGGGTTAATATTCAAAAAATATAAGGAATTCAATAGCAAAAAAACATACTATCTGATTTAAAAATGAGTAGAGGATCTGAATAGACATTTTCCCAAAGAATACAGATAGTCAAGAGTACATGAAAAGATGCTCAACATCACTAATCATCAGGGAAATGCAAATCAAAACCACAATAAGAGATCATGTCACACCCGTGAGAATAACTATTATCAAAAATAAAAGAAATAACAAGTGCTGGCAAGGATATGAGGAGGAAACGGAACCCCCCCCCATACTATATTGGGACTATAAATTGATGCTACCGCTGTGGAAAACAGTATAGCGTTTCCCCAAAAAATTAAAACAAGAACGATCTATAATTCAGCATTCCACTTCTGAATATTTATCCAAAAGAAACAAAAATATTAACTCAAAGCATACATGCACCCCTAGGTTTACTGCAGCATTATTTACCATAGTCAAGACATGGAAGCAAACTAAATGTTCATTGATGGACAGATGATGAATAAATAAATCCTGGTATATGGTCTTGTGGTGCTTAACAATGGGGCTATTTTCTAAGAAATGCATCGTTAGGTGATTTCGTCTTTGTGTGGTCATGGAATGTAATTACGCAAACCTAGACTGTATAGCCTAGTCTATATAGACTACTGGGACCATGATGCGGTACATCATTGACTGAAATGTCCTTTAAGTATGTATGTTGAGAGAGAGAGAAAGAGAGAGAGAGAGAGAAAGAGAGAGAGAGAGAGAGAGAATGGAATACTAATCAGTTACAAAAAAAGGAACTTTTGTAATCTGTGATAACATGGCTGGACTTTGAGGTCATTATGCTAAGTGAAATAAATCAGACAAGAAAAAGACAAATATTGTATGATCTCACTAGATGTGGAATCTTAAAACACAAACCCATAGACAGTGAAAATGTACAAGTTCCCAGTCATAATATAAATAAGTCACAGGATGTATTGTACAGGTTGGTGACTATACTTAATAATACTGTGCTGTATATTTGAATGTTGCTAAGAGAGCAGATATAAAATTCTCATAAAAGAAAATAATTGTAATTCTGTGTGGTGATGAATGTTAACTAGACTTACTTTGATCACTGCAATATATATAATATAAAATATAATATAATCACTGCAATATATATAAATTCTGATTCACTATTTGTATTTCTGAAATGACTATAATGTTATATGGCAACTGCTACATCTCCATTAAAGAAAACAAAATTTACCCACAAAAAGCTGAGTTGAAATAACACTACAAATGAATGTTATTATTTTATCTTTCTAAAAAAAAATTGTCCAAAAATCACAAGGGAAAGTATGAATTAATATTAATGCTATGTTTTCTTTTATTATCATTAAATTTCTCTAATGAATGTATAGTGATTCCCAGCACCCATTTCATCTCGCTCCTGTTGAGAAATAAGCGCAGTTTGGGAAAGAGATCTTACCTCAAAGTGTGCACTAAATTGGTCCACTGGCAATTCCATTTTCTCCACTGGCTTGTGTTTGGGTATATGACAAAATTCTAATGAAAGTGATTGGAGAAGATGGTTGCTGCAGGTTTCTGGGAAGGAGAAAAAAAATACCCAGAAGTCAGGAGGAAAAAAAACAACAACAACTAGAAACCAGTGGAAATGAAAATGAATTAAATGGTTCCTGTTGCTATTGTTAGTTATCTTTAACTAACAGTGAAACCAGAAGTCAATTCTGTTAATAGCTGTGTGGAGAGTTAGAAAGAATTCAGCACACAGATGCTGAATTGTTGAGCTGCTAGTTCAGCCAGTTCTAAAGACTACTGCACCTCTGAATACCCTGTTCCATGAAACTGTAAATATCTTTATTACAAAAACCCATCTGAAACAATTTTTCAGTTATGGTTGAAATACTAAATATTTAGAGGATAACAGAAGCTTAGTGTCAAAAGTTCTTGATGAATCATTTTGTCCCTCTGTTTTTGACCACATTATGTTACAGAAAAGGAGAACATATTGCATAGAACTCCCTGACCTACCCAGCTATGGAGGCCCTGACAGTGACCATGAATGAAGAGTCCTTTTTTCCTGATGCCCATCCACCTGCTGTGCCCACTACATATCTGACCTAAACGGAAGTCAGCCTTGCCTACTCTATAATAAGTGATCACACATCGCTAAATGAACAAAGTTTATCTATATCCACAGATAAACATATGCCTGAAATGCCAGAAAATTTAAGTTCAGCTAAATTGGATATTACATAAACTGATCCAGAACACAGCCCTCCCCTATTGTTCAGGTTGGGGAAATTTTTCTGGTCATAGCAATAATTATTACTAATACCTGTCACATGTCAGGCTTAATCTCATTTCTTTAACAAAATCCTGAGAGGTTGATACTGTAAGTGGACCCATTTTTCAGATGAGGGAATGGGGGGGCTCAAATAGGTTGAGACACTGGTTCAAGATTGCTCAGCTGCTATGAGTATTCAAATTCACGCCTGGCAGATTCTAAGTACTGAACTACCTATGCCATCCCTTCCAGCTCTGACAACCCAAGGATCTAAGATGCCCAAATTCACCAATACACAGGCCATTGAAACTGGCTTTAACTTAAGAAAATACAAACTAATAATCATTTAGCTCCATTGTCTCTGGTATAATGCGTACATTCTAAAATTCAGTGCAAGGGGTTGTCAACCTTAGACTTTGCTGTCTAAGGTCCACTTCTGCAGGTTACTAACTCAGGTATTGGATTTATATCTATTAAATAGATATATTTATATCTATTAAATCCTTAGCATCTGAGAATATTACATGGCTAATATTCTTTCTTTATTTATTTATTTATTTATTTTTCTATAGAGGCATGTTTTATTTATTTATTTATTTGCTTGTTTGTTTTGTTTATACATGCACTGGGTACAGTCAGAAGCGCGGGAGGGTGAGAGAATTCACCAGAGCCAGAGCGGGGAGCAGAGCAGGCAGAAGGACCGAAGGACACTAATATTCTTAATTCATTTAGTTGTATATATTTTTTAGCACCTATAGGGCATTTAGTGGTGAACAGGAAAGAAAATATCTCTTAGAGTTTGCACTTTAAAATCTGACACTGCATCCAGAATACTCAGAAGGGTTTTATTAAATTCAGTACTATTTAGTAAACATCTTTCTATGGCAGGTTCTGTGCTTGGCACTAGAGATAAAAACAGGAAAAAAAAAAAAAAAGACACTATCCTCTCTTTGCCAAGTATGCCTGGGTAACCCAAGTGCTAACAAGTGTTCTGTTTGGTAGTTTCTCTTTCTTCTCTTAAAATCACACTTGATTCTGACTAAGATTCCAATTAAAAAGTAGGAACACAATCTCACATACACATCTGTCATAAGAAGTGCCTATATTTCCACTTGGTACCTATTACTAGTTCCCTATTGCAAGAATTGTGTTTCTTGTAACCTTATTGGTAAATGCATAGGACTCAGCTTCGCGCATAAAGACAGTCACTTCTCCCAGCAGGACGGGCAAATATTACTCAGTGAGAACCACACTGTACTTAGCCCAACTCAGTGGAACTGGTTAAGGCTGCTCTAGGCTTACACTGTGCCATCCTAGGGCAAGAGTCGTTTTCCTCGCGGAAGCCTAAGCCGCCGGGTGCAAGCTAAGTAGAGGTGAACTGGAAATAGCAGTAACCCGGGGCCTGGCAACTACTTGGGGTTTTCCGGGACTCGCTTGGTTCCGGGTCCCCTGAAGGGCACTCAGCCCTAAAACGACACGAAAGTGGCGTGGAAGGAGGAATGAGCCTCTACTCCTAGACCCAATCCTGCCCCACCAAGGCGGCTGTCGCTCTACCTGAATCTAACCAATCGGAAAGGGAGTCACATTCAACGCTTGCTTCTTCATCCAATCTGAGGCTATGTCTCAGACTCCGCCACCGTCGGCGTCCCCGAGGGCTGTAAGCTGGTTCCGCAGGGGCGCGCGCCAGGCAGCTGCGCAAATTCCGGAGCGCAGATCTAGAGGTCGGGGCTGTTAACGGAGGCGCAGACACCAGGTATTGCGCACGCGCCTCGGCAAGATCGCGGCGTCGCGCGGTCCCTCAGGTCTCCCACGCCCCCAGTACCCACCGGCTCCGGGTTCCGCGAGCACGGAGTTCCGCGCTGGGAAGAAGCGGCGGGCGGCTGCGGTGAGTGTGCGCCTCGCGTGGTCTGGCGTTCTGCAGGGAAATGCCACCCCCTCCCCAGTCTAGAGGGGCTTTGGAAGTGGGGATGGCGAGAACGCCTACCGCCACCTCCGCCACCAGCTCCACACACCGCTCCCCCCCCCACGCACCCCAGGGCACAGGCGGGGAGATCAGCTAAGGGACCCAGGGGCTGCGGGAGAGGCCGGCGTGGGAGGCGGAGGGCGGTGAGGGACAGGACATTACAGCAGGTGGACTGGAGTTGAGGGAGTCGCAAAGGCTGGGGCCGGGGAGTTGGCCGAATGGCGCAGAGCAGTGGAGGTGGGCGTGGGTGAAAATGACACCAGGAGCCAATACCAAACTGTTTTAATTATTATGGCTTTGTAGTATAGCTTGAAGTTTGGAAGTGTGATACCTCCCTTCTTCATTTTCATCAGTAGAGCTTTGGCTGTTCGTGTTTTTTTGTGGTTCCATACGAATGTCATCAGTATTTGTTCTATTTCTTTGAAGAATGTCATTGAGATTTTTATTGGAATAGTGTTGAAGCTGTATATTGCTTTTGGGAGGGTGGACATTTTAGTAATGTTAATTTTTCCAATCCATGAACAGGGGATGTCTTTCTATTTCTTTGTGTCTTTCTGTTTCCTTTAACAGTGTTTTATAGTTTTCTTTGTAGAGATCTTTCACCTCTTTTGTTAGGTTTATTCCCAAGCATTTTTTTGTTTGTTTGTTTCAATTATGAAAGGGATGGTTTTCTTGATTTCTTTTTCTTCAGATTGATTGATTGTGTGTAGGCAGGCTACTGATTTTTGTGTGTTGATTTTGTATCCTGCTACTTTACTGAACTGGCTGATTATTATGAGTAGTTTTTCTGTGGAGTTTTTAGGATGGTTTCACTTATAGCAGGAATATAGGGGAACCCAATAAAGCATCAGCATAAAAAAATAGTAACAGTACAAAACACAACAAAGCAAAAATGGACAATTATAAATCAGAGACATACTGCAAGGGAGGAGGAGCGAGAGGGATCAGAGGGAGGGTGGGAGGAGCACAGGGGACTGAGGTGATGGTGCATGGGTGCATTGGTGAGGGAAACTATGGGGACTACACCTGAGGGGGTGGGGAAGCAAATATTGTTTAAAAATGAACAATGATGTAAAAAAATAAAAAAAAATTGAAAAAAAAAAGATGTGAGGCTGCTGGAGGGACTGGGGGTGCAAAGGGCATCCATCGACAAGTAAGCCTGAATATTAGTTTCTGCTCTCTATATATAACACTGTCATCATACCGCAAACCAAGCAATAAAGATAATATTTAAGTGTTTTTAATAGGCCAGACACGGTTTTAAGAACTTTATCAACAAGACTTCCTTTATGCAACCAGCAACCGTCTAAGATACTGTCGTCCCCTTAGACTGATAAGGAAAAGTCAGACTCGGAAAGGAAAGTGGTATGTCCAAGATCGTACAGCTTATGACTAGCAGCTTCAGGTTTATATCAAGTCTGACTCCAAAAGGGTTTTGCTTAACCAACAGGTGCTCTGGTAGACCCATATCTGAAAATTGCTGAGATAAGAAGATAAGAAGATAGCTGTTGATAAGCTAGATAAGAAGATAGCTGTTGATTTTCTAATATTAATACTAATTTAATACTCTTTTCCCCAGAAGTTATTTCAAGCTATTTTAAGAAATGTAATTTAAAGCAATATTTAACTAAAACTAAACTGTGCTTACTTTAAAAGCTCCTTGGTTTTAAATTAGCTACAAAATATAATTTGGGATAAATTTTAATGAAAACACAGAAACTGCATGGGAGAGGAGTATTTTACTATGTAGAAAGTATGGTAAGTATAGCTGTGTGAAGATACTTGCTGAAAAATTTTGTATGTGCTAGGCAATTAGAGAGTAATTTAGAATCCTAGAATTTTGAAGACTGAGGAAGTCTTTCCAGTTTTTTTTTTATATTCTTAAGAAAATAATCATTATATAAAGGAAGCCACATAAGTTATCTATGTGCCTAGCAATAATGCTGATTTAAAGTTGTATGTGATTTTCATCATAAATAGTATTTGTGAAGTGACTAGAATGAGGTTTTTGTATTACAGAGCAGATGGCATGCTGATGGTGACAAATATCTTTCACCATATCCTGTAACTGTTATACTTTCCCAGCTTCACACAGGCTAACAAAGTCAGTGGGAGTTACCTGACATGCATTCCATGCAGGTAAAAAAGTCATTCTAGGTGAGGTAGAGAGTGTGTTGTCTTCTGTGTTGAATACTCCCAAATATTTCCAATTGCTGTTGGACTCTTTGGATGTAGTCCAGATGGGTCTGCCTTTTTTCTGTCCCTTTTTATTTTCTTTCGGTTTGGAAAACTACAGAAATTAACCCTGATTTTTTATAATATATATAGTATTGCAGTCAGTAATTTTTCATACCTGAGAACTTCTCACTGATATTTTGTTTATAGCATAACACTCCCTGTTAGAATGAAACAAAATATGTAGATATAGCTGCAGGAACTACTAATGAAAGCTGTTTTGGCAGAAAAATTCTGTTAATAGTTTGAGATTATTCATCCTTATCACTAAAGAGCTGGGGAAGAAGGATCTGGATTTTATGAGAGAGGGTCGACACAGGTTTTTGTTTTGTTGTTGTTTTGTGTATAGAAAGTATTGTATAAAACAATTTCACATTAAAACACCCTAGTCTGTATTGTGGTATGCATATTTTTTGGTGACAAAAACAGACATTAAAGATGTTTCCTGTTTCAAGGCAAGGAACTTCAGATGCATTTAAGATTACTCTTTCATTTCCTGCTGTTCTTTTAAAAAATATGTAATAGTTTTATGGAAATATCATCCACATGGTATCAAACTCACTCATTAAAAGTATACAGCTTAGTCATGTAACTCACATTTTGATAACATTTTCATAACCCTTATTTACTAACTTCTCCCCAAACTGTTTCTGCAACAACTGCTATCTATCTATCTATGTATTTTTCTATCTGTTGATTTTAGGCATTTCATAAATAGAACCATACAATAAGTGGTCTTTTATGACTATCTTTCATGGAGCATAATGTTTCAAGGTTTTTCCATGTTGTAGCATGTGACTGTAAATCACTCCTTTTTATAGTCAAATGATATCACATATGAATATTCCATATTTTATGTATGCATTCATGCATTAATGCATATTTGGGTTGTTTCAATTTTTTGGCTTTTATGAATAATGCTACTGTAAACATTTGTATTCAAATTTTTGTTTTAAAATTTTTTTGTATACAAATTTTGTGTGGACATATTTTTATTTCTCTTGGACAGGTACTTAGTAGTGGAATTGCTGAGTATATGGAATCTCTATGTTTAAACTTTAAAAAAGTTTTTTTAATGACATAAAAGTGTTTGGGCAATACTTCAGGTGCAGGAAGTAGCTTTAGGATGGTTTAGAAACACCCTATAACCAAAGAGCTGTTAAAAGATCACCCATAGATAAATGACTACAGTCATTTCCATGACATTGCAATACATTTCAAACAGATTGTGACAGAAGTGTGGTAAATGGAAATTAAGGTTGGTAATAATTTCTGTAACTATTTTATACTCACTTGCATGTAAGTTGGGTCTGCATGATTAAGGGGTGTGAATGCCAGGCTGAGATGTTTGGACTTTTTGTATAGACAAGGGGACTCTGAACATTTTTTTAATCAGGGAAGTAACATGAACAGAGTTATGCCCAGGGAGATTAATTTGGCAGAAGTGGGGTGAGAAAGGGGAAGGTGATTGAAGTTGGAAGGTCAGTTAACAGATAAAAGTACTCAAACAGGAGGTATTAAGAACTTTAGAAGTATGACATCAGTAGAGACTGGGAAAGAATGGGTAGCCATTAAAAATGCTTGTTAGAGATGGGTGTTCTGGGCTTTTACTGATGAGGCTGGACAGCTGCACTTTAATCAACTTCCCTCAGTGATTCTTATGTTTACTATGCTGTAGTAGATGAATACAAAGATAGAATTCACTAGGCCAGCAAGTGATGGTGTTCTCAGGACATCGCTGTGACTGAGAGAATGGTGAAACTTTTAAATAATTTTTTTAAAGATTTATTTATTTTATACAAGAACTGGGGTACAGGCCAGACGCGTGGGAGGGTGAGAGAATTCATCAGAGACAGAGCAGAGCAGAACAGGCAGACGGACTGAAAGTACTACTGAGGGGAGCAGCGGGTGAGACAGAAGAGGTCTGCTGCGCGAAGTGGGTATCTCCCTGGCCGGCGGGGAATCAAACCCATGCTGCAGAGGCTGCAAACAGCTTCACAGCGTTGCGCTCAACCTGCTGCGCCACTGGGGTGGCCCAACTTTTAAATAATTGAAGAACCAAGGAAAGGTGAAAAATTTGGAGGTACAGGGAATGCTTTCTGTTTGACATATATCAAATTTGAACCTCACCAGCAGAATGCCTTGTGCAGTGGTATCAGTTGGGAACATGGAATGGGAGAGAGCCAGGACAACAAAGAAGTCTAAAAAAAATTGTTATGAATATCTTTAAGATACTGTGCCACCTAATTGCTGATTTGGTCTACTATGTTATTAGAAACCAATATTTGAATATGGGGGAGTAGCTCTACTCAGAGAAATGAGGGGATCTATTCAATTCTCTACAAGTTTTTAGACTGTTGGAACCTAGGGCAGCAGCCTGTATAATATTGTGGTTTGACCAAGTCCAGTTATGACTCATGAAGGAAGAGATGAGCTTTGCATATATACTAGGTTAGGGATATAAAAGAAGGAATGAAACAGGAAGTGCTACTATCTAAATTCTTGACAGCTAAAATTACTGAGATTACTGTGTCTGTGCAAAGTATGTCTCTTGCGCTAATTAGAATAGTTACTCTTTGCTTTGAGAACTGGCTTGTTTTTGTTGTTCTGTGTTGTTTTGGTTTCTTGGACGGCACCAGCAACAGATGATGCCATTCAGAAGGCAGCCCATCCCAGGTTAAAAAGATAGAAATTTTCAGGCCAAAGATCCTCACCAACAAGATTCTAACTTTTTGGTCTTCAAAATGTTAAGGCCCTAAGGTCACAGCTTCATCTAGTAAGTATTTGAATGCCTGTGCATACACACATCACCTATATTGTGTATTTGAAAGAAAGAAAGTCTCTGCCTTTCAGTAACTGCAGTCTAGTTAGGAGAAAGAAGTGCAACAATAAATGACTTGTGACCTTGGGGTCTTCTAGGCATATACCCGCATCCCGCATGCCCATACCTTGAGTCTTCTTACTTTGAAATAATGAATTTCCCCATCTCACACTAGCCAAAACCCTACATCCCTGCAACTTTCACTGCAAGTTCCTTTAAAACACTGGTTTTTAACTTCATCAGACCCTCTAGTCCTAAAGCTTCTCTACTTCTTGCATGCTTTAGCTCAAATTTCAACCACTCCTTAGTATCTTCAGCCTCCTCACACTTAAATTTCTGGCAGAATTTCAAGCCCAGGTAAGATCTGCTGCCTGTTTTGTTCATGCATAAGCCAGGGTGACTGAATTGTTTGGGAAACCCAATCAACAATGTCTTTCTTAAAAATACATGGCCATAGCTGTCAGCATTGACCATCAATTGTATTGTTTCCTTGTAATGTTTCCCACGTGGAGACATTCACCATTTCAGACACCCTCTGTGTTCTTCAAGCCCCAGAACCTTTACCATCCTACTTCTCTCAATAATTGACCCTGTATCTTAAAACACAGAATGCAGTTCCTGTCACCTGCAGCCCTCAAACTTGTATGCTTACCTATTCAGTACTACTTTCTCCTTCTCTTCTGTCATAATGGAGAAGGGGTCCTGCCATCTGAAGCGAACCATTCTTCGGGGCCAACAAAGATAGAGACTGAAGGCAGGAGATTTATTAGGGGAAGACTGTTTTTGTAATCTCTGGACAATTTAAAAAAATCATGGAGATCACTGAGCCTGAGGTATTAAGTAGAACACTTACGTCTGACAATAAGGAAAAATTTAAGAGGGATGGGGTGATGAAATTCCTTTCAACAGCTGTTGGATATCTTCAGAGTTACTGTGGCATCCGAGTCCTTGGAAACTTTGTCTGTTTATTAGTCAACCTCATGTGACCATCAAATAGGTGCAAATTGAGGTGGGAAGTTCTCCTCAAATAACTTTTATTTCTCACTCCCCCTTTTTTAATGCCAATATTTAGAATAATTTTTGCAGCTTCAGATAAACCGGGTAACCAAACAGGAGTATTTGTGTAAACTATGACAATAATCCACTTCTCCTTCAGAGCATGTGGGGGGCATGGGATACAGATGTAAAGCACACAGCCATATATAACTGAACAAATAAAGGCTATTTTATTTTTTCCAATTTTGACTTCAGTTATCTTTCAATAAATGATGTTACTTAACTTTTAGCTTGATATAGCTAAAGCTGATATATAAGATGTTTATAAATGTTGGTTGTCTTCTCCCAGTGGCTAAACTTCTGAACCCTAATCCAAATTAAATGGCATTACTACTTATAAATTGTGTTTTTATGTTTTAGGAACCCTGATTGCTTTCTTCAACATGTTCATTATGAAGTTATTAGCAATACTTTTACTTTCTGGACTTGTAACTAATTGTAGAGGTAATTCTTCCTACGTTTCTCCACCCAAGTTACTACTGGTGTCCTTTGATGGCTTCAGAGCTGACTATCTGCAAAACTATGACTTTCCTCATCTCCAGAATTTTATCAAAGAAGGTGTCTTGGTAGAGCATGTCAAGAATGTTTTTATCACAAAAACATTTCCAAACCACTACAGTATTGTGACAGGCTTGTATGAAGAAAGCCATGGCATTGTCGCTAATTCCATGTATGACGTGATCACAAAGAAACATTTTTCTGACTACGATGACAAGGATCCTTTCTGGTGGAATGAAGCAGTACCTATTTGGGTGACCAATCAGCTTCAGGAAAACAGATCCAGTGCCGCTGCTATGTGGCCTGGTACTGATGTGCCCATTCACAATATCACACCTTCTTATTTTATGAATTATAACTCTTCTGTGTCGTTTGAGGAGAGACTTAATAATGTTACCATGTGGCTGAGCAAATCGAACCCACCAGTCACCTTTGCAACACTCTATTGGGAAGAACCTGATGCCAGTGGCCACAAATTCGGACCTGAAGATAAAGAAAACATGCGCAGAGTGTTGAAAGACATAGATGACCTTATTGGTGACCTAGTTTACAAACTGAAGACATTAGGACTGTGGGAAAATCTTAATGTGATCATTACAAGTGATCATGGGATGACCCAGTGTTCTAAGGACAGATTGATAAACTTGGATCTCTGCATTGACCGTTCAAACTACACTCTTATAGATTCAACCCCCATTGCTGCGATACTTCCCAAAATAAGTAAGTTAACTTTTAGCGAAGGTGTATTTGAATGGGACAATTGATTGAGAAGGGAGGGTAAAAGGATCTTCGTATAGTTCAGGACCATATGCTCAGAGTGGGTACATGTTTTTAAGCAAGTAGAGTAAGGCTTAGATTCAAAATGATTATATCTTTGCTTTTTGATGTATTTTGATTATTTCTTTGTTTTTTAATGGAAAGAGGTCATTTTTATCCTTAAAAAGCATCTTGGATTTTTGTGTGAGCTACATACCTTTGTCTGTTGATCTTAGAATGAATAATTAATAGTTAAATGTAATTAGTTTATGTTTGTTGAGGAAGCTATTTTGTCCCTTTCCTATAAATGTCCATCAGAGATTATCACAAATGAAAAAGGATATGTGACTACTTCAAAAGTGTGTGTGTGTGTGTGTGTGTGTGTGTGTGTGTGTTTGTGTGTGTGGTGAGAGAGAGAGAGAGAGAGAGAGGTCATTCCCAACACTGTCACATAACTAGTACTGCTCCTTTATTTAAAAAAAGAATTTAAAGTGATTTAATAGATGACACTGTTCAGGACGTATTTCCAGTTATTCTAATTAGAAATATTTTTGCCTTATCAGTGAACCATGACTTTTTCCTTTGCTATTTCCTCTTTTGCTTTGCTATTTCCTTTTTCATCCAGATAGAACAGAGGTTTATAACAAACTGAAAATGTGTAACCCTCACATGAATGTTTATTTCAAAGAAGACATTCCTGCCAGATTTCATTACCAACATAATGATCGGATTCAACCTATTATTTTGGTTGCTGATGAAGGCTGGACAATTGTGCTGAATAAATCCTTAACGAGATGTAAGTATTAGGATATTTCTGTTTCATTCTATTGACACATTGTGACACTATCTTGTTAAGATTACAGATGTTCACGCATATATGTAGTTCAGTTTTTAAATAGATAATTGTCAGGTTTTTATTTCAAGTTTCAGGTTTTCCTTCAATAGCCATTTGTAGTAACCACAATGTCACCTTTAGATTAGAAGGATGGGTGTCTTTAAGGGGGAAAGTGTAGTTTTATTTTGTTACCAAAACTGCATTTACTGTCAGTAACTTTCAAGATTGGTTCTTTTGATTTGTAGAAAATGAGAGACAACTATAGAAACAAAATAATTAAGAGAGAATAATAATAGAAAAATAATAGAAAATATAATATAGAAAAATAATAAATATAATATAATAAATATAATAAAATAATAAATATAATATAGAAAAATAATAAAAGGGGAGTGATAAGCTAGAATTCTTCTTATTTATTTTTTGTATGTGTGTGTGTGTCAAAAAAATTTCTCACTCATAGCAGGAATTTAGAAAACCTAAATAAGGGACCAGGAAAAAGACTAATTATAATAAAGTAAAAATCAAAATGAACAAGCAGCTATAAACCACAATTCAATATGGGGGGGGAGGCAGTGGAGGAGGGAGTAGGATGAAAACAAGGGAGGTGAGAATTGTATGGGGACTATAACCATGACAAATATGCATACATTGTGCAAAAAAGATGTAAAAAATATATAAAATTAAAAAAAAACCATAAAAAATTTGTCCAGGAAGCTAAGTTTTTTCCCAATTATGAAATCACTGATTAGAATGCCATGGCTATTTAGAACACTGGTAAGAACAAGAAAGTAAATTAATAAAAAAAATTTAGCAAGTGAGTATAATAGATGTATTAAAATTTCTCCTAAAACTGAGAAATATTTTAAGGGAGGGTTACAGGTCTTCCCTCAACTGAAGCTTAATTATACAAGTGTTAAATTCATTTTAAATACTTTTCTAAATAATCTGATTTTATAGGTGTCAGAAAACTTTTTCTTGTTAAGGACCAGAAAGTAAATATTTTAGGCTTTGTGAGCTGCTGGTCTCTGTTTTAATTATTCATCCTGCCTTTATAGTGGAAAAGTGCAGTAGAGAGTATTTAAACAAATTGACATGGGGTGTCCCGGTGAAATTTTGTTTACAAGAGCAGGTGCAGGGCTGAATTTGCTGTAGGCTGTAGTCTGCAGATCCCCAATCTAAAGCAGTTCAGAAGTAGGCAAGTATAGGAATGGTCAATAGAATTTGTATATAATTTATGTATGTATCATGTACTTACTATTGAGAACTTGTTAAATACAGACAAGTATAAAACAGAATAAAAACTATCCATAATACAGAGATATAGACAAAGGTTAATTAGGGGAGTTTTCCCCCCTTTCCAATCTTTTTTCTATAGACATGAATATTTTTACATTATTGAAATCATAGTGCCTGTATGTAGTATTCTAGCCTGTTTTTTATTATATTGATCACATGCATTTTTATTATTAAATATTTCACACATATAGAATAAACAAAGGGCAGAGATTGATATGTTCATCACTTAATCACCTGTATGAAAGTGGAAACTTGTGATTCAATCGGTATACCTTAAAAGGCATTATCTGTTAAAAATAAAGGTAAAAATTGAGAATTTGATAATAGAGCCATATCAGGGACCAGCACATTTCTCTGTTTTTGAGTTTGACTTTTACTGGTGTTATAAATTGGAGTCATCTCATTAGACTTCACATTCAATACAAGAATCCCTAGTAACATTTTTAATGATCTGGCCCTCCAGAAGTGGAGGTGTTCATTAATTGTCAGTAAACCAGTAGTGCATTATACAACCTTGTTTCTTATCCCAGGAGTATTGACATAGGTGAGGCTACAGATTCACTTCTTTCCCATTCACTGGTTTACCTTACATCTGCTCTCCTCACAGCCCTACTGCTCTTCTTATCACTCGTGCTATTTGCAATGTGCTTTTACAAACAGTCCTAGAGATTGACATGTGGAATGAGTTGGGCACTGAATGAAAGCTATTAGGTTGAGAAATAGTGTGAAAGCCGATGTCATAAGCCATTGGAAAGGGCTGTGTTTAAAATAGGGACATGACTATTGAAGAAAATGGAAATTTTTTTCTGGGCCTTGTGTGGTCCAACTACTCAGGATTTTAATGGATGGGGATTACACTGGCAAAAATGTAGTATATTTACAGTAGAAGAAAGTTATTTTATAACAGAAAGACTGATCTTATTTACTGACATCATTTTGTTCTTTTTCAGTAGGTGACCATGGTTATGACAATTCTTTACCGAGTATGCATCCGTTTCTAGCTGCTCATGGTCCTGCATTTCACAAAGGCTACAAACAGAGCACAATTAACACTGTGGACATTTATCCAATGATGTGCCATATCTTGGGATTAAAACCACATCCTAATAATGGAACCTTTGGTCATACCAAGTGTTTGCTAGCTGACCAGTGGTGTATTAATCTCCCAGAAGCTATTGGAATTGTTATTGGTGCACTGTTGATCTTAACCACCTTAACATGCCTCATAATAATCATGCAGAATAAACTATCTGTACCCCGTCCATTTTCCAGACTTCAGCTACAAGAAGATGATGATGATCCTTTAATTGGGTGACATGCTGGGGTTCATACAAAGTGTCTTTGATTACTCATGAAACCAAGGATTCTCCCAAAGAAAGGGGTTATTACTATGAAAAGGTATACTTTGAAAGATAAAGAACGTATACCAAGCATGCTAAAATTATTTTTTCATTGTGTTTTGTGTTTGGTTTCACTGCATTTTAATATAAGTAATCCTGACTACAGTAAAAGTTTCTAGTAAATCATTACTTAATACCAATTATTTCTCAAACTAGTAACGTTTTATGAGAAAAATACTGCCTCTGCCTGTTGTTTTTTTTTTTTTTGTATGTGTGTATGTGTGAAGGTATAATACATCTTTAGATAAAAATATACCAAAATTAAATAGGCATGCTTTTATGCCTATATGACTTCTATATTTGTATGTGAAATAATAGAAATCCTCACTCAATTAGTAGATTTTATATATCAGGGGGAAAAACTTTCCTATATTTTTATATTAATAAATAGAGTTAGTTTAATAGAGTTTGTATCCCAAGAAAACTCTTAAGGTAGGCTACTCTTTGTGGTTAACAAAATCTGTTAGTCACACAAAAAAGATCTAGCATACAAAGAAATTTTTTGAGGAAATCTATTATTAAAAAAAAAGGAAAACTATATAATCCAAAGCCGGAGCCTTCACCATTGTGTCTTTATTAAGACCCTTAAGTTATTTAAATCTCAACAGTTATATCTTTTGGAGATTATTGCTAATGTGATATTTTAAGAAAATGGGGAAAATGTGATTTCTCTACTTGTGCTTACTGCTTTTGTGTAAGTTTTCAGTTGTGTGTGTGTGTGTGTGTATGTGTGTAGTGTGTCTGAGTGTCCCAGTATACGGAATTCATATGACTGACAGGAGGTGAAAGGTGAACTGTGCAGTAGGCAGGCTTCCACATTCCGTAGATCAGCTCTCAGGACAGGTTCCATTTGCACTTCATATTGTTTACTTTCTTCTGACTCACCAATTAAAGTCACAGTTTTTAAAAAGTATTAATTTTGGGGGCCTCCCCTGGTGGCGCTGTGGTTGAGCACTGGGCTGCGAGGCTGCCCGCAGCCTCTGCAGCGCCAGTTTGTTCCCCTGCCGCCTACGAGGGTCCCACGAAAAAAAAAAAAAAGTATTAATTTTTGTTACCATTTTTAACTTTCTCATGTTTATGTAGCCAGAGGTATCCAAGTGCTACAAAAAAATTGATGATATGAATGCAAATCTGGTTTTGATTGGATCAGAATGAGGAAGAGAGGTTTTTACATTTGTCTTTCAAACTCCTATGCCTTACTTTTTCAGCAATGAAGTAATTTTAAAAAATTAAATTCAATTTGGTATCTTTTGATCTGTTACATTATTCATATGGTAAGTACAGAATAACCTCTCGGCACTCTGGTGATATTCTGTGGCCTTAGTGCTGCCTATACTTCATTCTCCAATATTTGATTCATAGAAATAATTGCTCTCCTCACACATTTTTAACATACTTGTTCAGAGCCATGGATTTGTTGTAAAGAACTGTCACCCTACCTTTGCTAGGTGGTACCTTATAATAATCAGAATATGAAGAAACTGAATTGTGACACTTTAGATTGCACCTTATAGAGAGAAAATTGGGCTCAGGAACCATTCATCAGCACCTGAGGAGTGCAATTACTAGTAAGAGTGTGAACTTAAAGTTTGACAATAGAAAATAAACTGTAAGTGTTTGGCAAATACAAAAATCATCTGCAATAAATATGCAGTCCAGTTAAATGTTGATTCTTTGTGATAGTAAAGAACAATGGGGCCAGTTAACAAACATGTCATTCATTCTGTTTGGTCACTGCTAATTTCCTGATCCTGGTATTTGGTGCCTGGTAAGAAGCATTTCCATAGCCTGCATAAATAATTCATGCAATTGGTCATAAGTTGACTGTATTTAGACCAACAAAATAAATAAATGAAATGAAACTGATAAGCCAGTTTTGCTTTTTGACAGATTTTAATTCTGACATTTTTTTCCCCTCACATAAAAGGTATCCTAAAAGTTAATCGTTGATCTGAACTAAGTGAGACTTCTTCCCACTTCAATTTCCATTGAAAAAAATAAATAAAAAGAAAGAACAGAACAGTCACATTTAAAGCAATGGACATTTTTTGAGATGTTGAAAACAGTGGCAGGAAATCTTGAGAAGAGCTTATTCCTTGCAGTGGTAGGCATTTCAATAATCAATCACATTAGCTCGAATGTGGCTTGAGTTTCAGAAATCTATACATGGCCGTCCAACCTAAATGAACTTTATAGAATAACGTGGAATAGGAAGGAATGCCCTGTCAGTGCCTTAATGCTTTGAATAGAAGATATTTACCTGTTTGTCCTGTATTTCATTTTATTCTCCAAATACTAACTCTAATGAAAATTGTAAATTTTGTATGTATATGTTGATAGGACAAGAACAGTATTTATTTAATCAAGGAGAAGTCTGTGTATTATAAATTGAACTTGGTTCCTTCATTTGTATCTTTAAAAAATCACCCTGCAAGCCAACGAGTCCTCTAGCACACTGAGAACCTTTTAGTAAAGCGAGTCTCGTCTATTAAGGTTTGGTGTGTATTTTGTTAAATAACTGACTGATATGCTGCTGTGTTTTTTGGGTGGTGGAAAGTATTTGGTTCCAGAAAAAGCATACCTACTTATGAAAACAAAACTCAAAGATAATAGAAATTATTTTTATTAAGTGTTTTGTTGTTGTTGTTGTTAATTCAGAGAATGCTTTCAGGATACATGTATTTACTTCTAACATGGGAACCATTCTGTTTCTGTGATTTCTAAACAGCAATAGAATAAAAATTACTTTAATTCTCTGCATTATAGGCTCTGTGTTATTGTAACAGTAAGCTTGAAATAAGAATTTAAAGATAAATTCTTGGAACATTAAAGGATAAAACATGCCTTTGTATTGTTCTTGAGTGTCTCTTCCCTTGCCCACATCTGGTAAGCTTTAAGGATGATTACATGTATTTCCTTTTATAGGAGGGTTTTATTTTATTGTGAATACATAAAAATATACATGAAGGACAAATATGAGATAGAATGTGTGTATTTATTGTCATTTCTTAAAATAGTATGTAAATAAAGTGTCATGAATGTGCTTCAAAGAAATTGGTATGTAGTGCCTTAAGTTGAAGTAGAATATATTTTGGCTACATTGTTTGAATAGTTGATGACTTTGCTTATGATTAAAAAATTGTATGTGAATAAAATTACCAAAACATTTAATAAAAACCTCAATGACATTAAAGGTTTTTAATTTTTCATCTTCTTACAAAATATACTTAATGTGATAGGTGTTGACATGACTTAGTAACACTGTAAAAATACACGTAGGTGTTCATTACAGATAGCTTCCTTAATTGGGATTAAGTGTATAACATTCAATCAAGATTTTAAAAGTATAGAAATCTGCAATCCAGCATAAGGACATTAGAAAGAAAGCCAGAATTAATTTTGCAGTTTCTGCATAATAATTTATTGGCTAACAGTAGAAAGGAAGAATTGAAAAAGTTGATTATAAAAACATTGGCAATGAGGTGATGATTAGTGTATTTAAACTTTGTTTTGTATGTAACTAAGTATTTAATGTCATGTTGAATTGAATACAGATTCAACAGTTTCCTCTAGTAGAGCAGTGATTAATTCATTTCCTATTTTTATGTTCAGTGAATGTTGCTCGGAACTGTGGGAAAGCAGAAGAATAAAAGTACTTTCTTTAGAAGAGAGTTCTGTAGCATTTCAAAGGTGGTTAAACTTTATGACAACAAATGACTTAAATCCATTCATGGTTTAGCTCTTGCTTACTGGCATCCTTGGATCTAGAACTATTTCCCAGACCCTGTGCTTCCTGGAGTTTGAATGCCAGCTTCACACCTTCCCCTACCGCCAGCCTTCTTGGTACCTGTGCATGGGCATCATTACAGTATCCCCAGCTCCCTCAGCTCACAAACACACATACATGCTCACAACCACTGCTTCCGAGAATATATAACAATCAATATATCACAATCCAAAACAGCTTGTCTTGTCTTTCTATGTTTCTCTCATACACACACATATACTCGCACAAACATACAGTATTGATGATAACATGTATGTGCACTTTTGTATCCTAATACATGTGTGAATGTTCGCATGTATGCATGTGCGCACATGTGTGTGTATGTGTGCAGGGGGGTTGGTGGTGAAACCACTAGGTTCTGTGACTTATATTTCATGTCCAAAATTACCTGGAAGGCAAAGATAGTCTTAACCAAACAGCAGCTAAACTGCTTTGCAGGTGGTTTACCTTATCACATCTCTTTTTTCTATCTCCTTGCCCTGTCAAACTGTCTCCTGAGCTCATCCACTGACAGCTTCATCATGATGGCTTGAAATGTCTCTGTTTCAGACCTCCCTCCTGTGTTAAAAATCTGAATTGCCAGTGATGCGATCCCGCTCTTTTCATTATCTATCATGCTTAACTTCGCTTTGTCGGACAGAGGTGGTGGAAGGGATCAGTAGAAATTGACCACAAAACAAATCTAGTCAGCCCCACTACACAAATACACATTTTATAAGAGAGTTCCTATAGCTAGGGCCCTGGACTCTTGATTTATACATTGTTTGAACTGTCTACTGAGGAGTGTGACTGTGTTTTTTATATGAAATTTCCAAGGAAGCTCTTTTTCAATCCGTCACATCCACAGATGACATGATTGCATACATAGAAAATCCAAAGCAATCTACAGATAACACTGAGTTTAACAAAATTGTTGGATATAAGACACAAAAACTAAGTGTATTTTCAGTTATCAGCAGGAAGCAAATAAATTTTAAAATGATTATCATTTACATTGGTATAGAAAGTATGAAAAATATAGAAAGAAGTCTCCTAACAAAATGAATGTAGAATTTTTGTACAGGATTTTATAATACTGAAAGGAATTAAGGAATTCCAAAATTTAAAGGAGAAGTTATGCCTATAGGATAGGAAATTCAATATTGTAATTAGAACAATTCTCCTTAAATTATATTAAAGAAATTCTAACAGGGTTTTATATTTTACAGAATTTACAGAATTTATGTAGAAATGCACAGCACCAAGATTTCAATGTTGAAGAAAAACAGAATGGTAGGACATACTCTGTCAGATATCAAGAACTAACATAAGACATTATGGTGTTGATACAGAATAAACAGACAAATAGAACTGCTTGCCTTAGTTGAAATGGAGAATCCATAGATGTATGGGTGTTTAGATGTTAGGTATTTATTTATTAGATATATATTAGATGCATTTCATAAGAGCCCTCTGCAGGCACTGTAGGGCTGAGCACACATCACTCATAATAGTGGCCAATTCTCTAGCTTATGCTTGTATAGACTTTCATTGGCTTTCTTGCATCTCTTTTTCACTCTCTGTCACTCACTCTTGCTTCTTGGAATCAGCTCACATGTAAATTATCCTTTGCCTCAGATTCTGCTTTTGGGAAATACCAAGACCAAATATAGTGGTCTTATAAAATATATACAATAAAAATATATACATATATGCACCAAAGACATGTAGAATGTAGAACACAGTAACATCCATCTGGAAATGATCTAAATATCCAAAAATAGAAGATTGTGATATATTCAGATAATTCCATGAAGCAACAAAAACAACCACTGTTACACACAACATGGACAAATCTCACAAATATAATCTTAAGTGAAATCAAACATAAAATATTGCTTATTTATATTTTAAAATAGGGAAAACTTACCTTTCTAATCAGGATAGTGTTATCTTTAGGCACAAGGGAGGGGGTACTGACTGGAGTTTGAAGGGGGTTTTTCTAATGGTTTTCTGATGCAGATAATATTCTATTTTTTCTTCTAAAGATGTTACCTGGATTTGTTCACTTTCAATAATTGACATTCATTATTTGTATAATTTTAAGTAACACATTTCAATAAAGAGTTAAAAAAACAATATGAAGAAACAAAAGTTGGAAAAACTGAAAACAATAATAGGGCAAAGGCTTGGGAGATAAAGTATCTCAAATAATGTAATAGAGTTGGAAAATATTGAAATTAAATAATTCAGAATATTCAATATGCAACTAAAATGAGTACCAAAAGAGGTAAACAGAAAATGGATTAAAGAAAATTATAAACTAAGTTAACTGCAAGAATGTACTCAAATGAAAGAGAAATAAGTCTTTAAAATGATAGTGCCTTGGCAGAAGACTGAGTGAGTCCTGGTGGTGGGTGCCATGCATCTGAAGTATGATGATCCAGTCTCTGAATCACATATTGTGTGGTTGTTTTTTTTTTTTTAATTTATTTATTTTTGCATGCAAGAACTGGGTTATAGACCAGAGGTGTGGGGGCAGGGGGTGGATGAGTCACCAGAAACAGAGTGGAGAGCAGAACAGGCAGACTTACTATAAACTGCTAAGGGGAGCAGCATAGGAGAGGTCTGCTGCGCCATATGTGGGTTAGCTCCATGGCCAGAAATCGAACTCAGGCCTTAGGGGTGATAGCGCTGAGACTTAACCCCTAGGCCATTAGGGAGGCCCCTTAAATCACATAGTGTTGTGAAACAAGCTTTCCTCAATAAAAAAATGAAAATGGGAGAGAGACAATAAATTAGAAATAATCAAAAAAGCATATTAATATCACAAAAATTAAAATGAGTCCTAAGTGATGAGTGGAGTATTCAAGGTAACTATAAAATTTCAGGGAATTGAAAATTTCAAAAACAAATACCAAACACTATGGGAGAAATAAGAGAGGTTGGGGAGACTATATTAGTATAAAGTGGCATTATTACAGAGATGTAGCATGACTTCTCAGTATCAACCCTGAAGGAAGAAGACAATCGAATACTGTCAAATTGGAGATTTGAATATGTTCTCATATAGCTTCTCATTTTTCCAGGAGCTGTCATATTTGTTTGCTTTCTCCTCCTGACATGAATTGTGTCCCTCAGAATTCATTTATGTTGAAGTCCTACCCCGCAATCAGGATACCTAGGTCCTGCTTCCAGCTGCCACTGATGTGTCTAGTAAGTCACAGCTTTGCAAGGGTCATAGTTAAATCAGGCCTGAACACTCCCTTAGATCCCTTCAAATCCATGATTCTCCAGTGTGCCCCCTCAGTTCCTAAACAGCTGGAAAAAAGACTGGGAACTAGAGAAGTAAGCATCTCCCATACATTTTTTAGAAATCACTTCTTGTAAGAAACTGAAATTAATAGGATCCTAGTTTTACATTAAGAGGTCAGAAAGCAGCTTGAAAAGTAATTTTTAAATTTACATGGCAAAAGGCAAAGGAAGAAAAAAACTGCAAAACATACACTGAGTAAGAAAAATCTTACTAAGTTGCACAAAATAGCTACTGGAGGAGGTTGCTCAAAAATGGTGAGATGTGGGCCTCCCTGGTGGCGCAAGGGGTTAAGCACTGCACTATGAAGCAATCCACAGCCTCTGCAGCATGAGTTCAATCCCCAGCCAGCCAGGGAGCAACTATCAATCCCCGGCCCGCCAAGGAGCAATCTACATGGCATAGCAGACCTCTCCTGTCTCGCCTGCTGCTCCCCTCAGCAGTATATTTCACTCAGTCTGCCTGTTCTGTTCCCCACTCTGTCTCTGGTGAATCCTCTCAGCCCCCGGCATCTCTGGCCTGTACCCCAGCCCTTGTATGCATTAATAAATAAATCTTTAAATTTTTTTTTTAAATGGTGAGATGTGGGGCACTCTAGAACTCTAATGTTTAATAAAATTTTTTCTTACCATTAGTAAGATTAGCTAAATTTTCTATGTGCTAATTTGTGTTCAATGCACACAGCTTGACCATGAAGACATAAAGATAAAGCAAAACAAAAACTATCAGAGAATGATGAATGACTAGATTTTCCCAAGGAATTTTTATTTTCTCTCCTGCTGATAGTTTACAGGAAACTAAGTATCTGTAAATAAAAGAAGGCTTTTAATAATCAAATCTTCATATCAGAATTTTAATGATTTCAGCAATGTTACAGAAATTACTTTCTTATTAAGGTCACTTTCTAAAGGGAATTTAATGCAACAATTAGCTTAAATGTACATATAGCATTTCAATAGTCATGCTTTTCAATAAACCAATTTCATCTTTCTGTCTTATATAGATATCTCAGTAAGGATAAATTCACATCTATAAAACAAGCCAACTTGAGTGACTGGATATTCTAAAATGTCTAATCTAGAATTCAGACTTCTTGAGGAGTTTGCTATCTACCACCCACACCTCAACTTTGCAACCTACATTTCCAGTGATTACAATTCTATCCTATTAAGAGATTGTAGAGTAAAATGAAAACAGGTGCTAACACTCTTCATTAGTATTATTCTTATAAAAAAATTCATTAAAAAATTCATTCAACTTGTTTTAGGAAGCATCTAAATTATATCTTTCACTATGCCACTTTTGATTTTTATATCTAAATTATCCCTGCTTTCTGGACTACATATACCATCGTACCTAGTTATTAGCCCAGCAGTGCAAAAATATACACAAAATCACATTATCTGTAGGTCATGAGTCTACAAAGTGGTTTTTAATTTCAAGAAAAGCTATTGTTTCCAGGGCTGCTTCCTCTTTTCTCTAAGATGTCCTAGAAACCCTACACTCCCTGTAACTAGACTAATTAAGAGATGGAGCGCAGCTTTAGGAGGTAGCATGGGAGAAGCTGAGATAACTGGGCAAGTGAAAAAACTAGCCAAGAGGTGAAGTCTATTTCTGAACAAAAATACTCCCCAAGAGGTAGAAGCCTATTCGTGAACTTGGACTAATCTTTGATCCCGATGAGTCCCTGATGATGGGTATTCAAATGTTTCATGAAACAAGGCTATCACCTCAGTTCCTCTCATTGCAGTACCTGTTATTACTCTAAGAGTTATCTTGCTAGCTTTTGCCATCAGCACTGCTCTGGGTATGGTGTGAACAACTCCAATGTGCCCCTGCCTAACTTTTGTCCCCATGTTCTAGCTTTTCCAAGGACTGAGTTGCCTACATTTTACCAAATCAAGTTTGTGCTTTCCTGCAACTATGGATTTTAAGATGCTCAAATCTAAAAAATGCTTGTGCTTTGTTACTAGAAAGAAAATACCGCTATATCTATTGTTTAATGTGATTAAAATTGATTGAGTTTCAAAGACCTAAGTAATTACAGAACAAGAGAAAACATTCTGCGACAGTACTTGCTTTCTTTCATCAAGCTGGTGCTAAACTACATAGAACAGAAATTATATTCCTGGTGTCTTCTTAGAAAAACCAGAGTAAAATAACCAATCAGGACAGAGCAATGATAAGTCTAATGACAGAAACAGTATGTTTAGCAAGAATCTGTCAAATATTTGAATCTCTTTTTTTAGGGGGAAAATAAAATGAAAACCCATGTCCTTAGGAAAGGAATGCCCAATAATGCATCCTACTGTTGGGAATGCATCTCTCCAAAATTCGATGTACAAATGTTCATTTAATTTTCCATAGTTTTCACATTCATCACCTCCAATTAAAGGAGATAGATTTTTACATTACCCAGGAATTGGAAACTTCATTCCATTCAAACAATGAGTAACAAATATTCTGTGACATGGGTGCAAAGTCTTTCAAGCGAGTTAAAAGACCTAATTGTCAATAAAGTGCATTTCACATAAAGAGAGTACCCATTAGGAGAGTAACTTAAAGTGCAATATATAAAGTATTTTAAATAGTGCAAAGTTGCTAAATATATACATGTGCCAAGTTCCAATAAAGCAGGATCTTATCTACCTCTAGGCTAGAAAGAACAATGGAAACATCCCTCCACAGCTTTAATCCTTTGCAGGCACGTGTATGTGGGCCAATCTGCGTGTCTGTGACTGTGCTTGAACATGTAGGTAACTGCTTAACGGTTTGTGCAGATGTCTGAAACTGGTTTCCCCTGAAACCTTAAACACTGACATAATGATGCAATCTCCACTTCAAAGTAGCATTAGGCTTGTAATAACGGTTGAACTATTTCAGCCTGCATATCTGGCAAGGCAGGTATTTGACTGCGAACTAAATGTTTAATGGAGATTATAAAAAATACAATAACTATAATGCTACCGAGAGAGATCCCTATAAAATAAGCGTATGACTCCTCTTGTTTGTGTTGTCTTGGGTAGACACCAGCAGGGAGGGGTGTTGTACTCTGCGTGGAAGGGGTTGCTTCTGGAGTTGTTGAACTGAGCAGATCCTGGACATTCCTGAGTGATCCATTGTGTGGCATGGCACTGATATTGAGGAGGTGGCACAGCAGAGGGTACAGATCAGTGGAGTTCATTGCTGCTTTAGTGAAATTCTTTCTGAAGGCAGGACCATGGGCTAAAAATATTGGATGCATTTCTGCTAGTGCGTTATCATAACCGTGGTTGCCTACTGTAAAGATAAAATACATGATTAAGTTAACTAACCAGTTAGCATTGAAATGGAAATAGCTGTTGTTAAATTATAAACGTAAATGCAAATTGTACCTATTTCAACTTTTAAAATAATCGTTTACAAGCAAACTGCTATTGTCAACATCACGATTCACTCCAGGAAACATATCTTTCTCACAGCCCACATTACCCTAAGCAGCAGAGGAAGGAGGATAAAGAACAAAGTGGAATGACATGAGAGGAAAATGAAAGTGACTTTTTTTGGTGGTAGGTAAACTAACATTCAGCAAATACTTGTTAAGTACCTGCTATGTTTCAATCATGATCTTTATAAAGATTACGGGACTAAAGTGCCTTTTGCCATGAAGACAATAAATTCACAATTAATAATAAAAGGTGGGGAATAATAAATAAAGGGGGAAAAGACACCATAGAAAGCAAACCTCCACTTATAGCTACCACTCAGGACTGAAGACAAAGGGCAGGACTTGTGGGTAAATCTTTACTTTGGTGGTTCAGATCAGGACCCAGTGCTAAGTTAAGTTGCACCATAAGCTTTAATGTGGCTACAAATACAATAAAAACTCTGGGAGACTTCTGACTATCACCTAATACAAAATTGAAAGATGAAAACTTGTGCGTAACAACTCTGCATGTTAAAGTCATGTGTGCCTTACATATCAGGGTGCAAGGCACAGGCACTACAGCTGATAAGATAGCAACCTAAGAAAACCAACAAGTTTTTTTAAAGGTGGTAAGGGTAACTAGCAAATCATCTCTAATACTAAATTATTTGCTACAGGGAAACAGCAAGGGAAAAATGCATTACTGAAACAAAAAAATCCTGGGCCTCCCTAGTGGCACAGTAAAGTCTCAGTACTATCAAGCTATCACCAGCCACTGCCACATGAGTTGCGCCAGGGAGCTAACCCACATGGCGCAGCAGACCTCTCCTGTCTCACCTGCTGCTCCCCTTAGCAGTGTAATTTCAGTGGATCCACCTGTTCTGCTCCCTACTCTGTCTCTGGTGAATCCTCTCACCCCCCACACCTCTGGCCTACACCCCAGTTCTTGTATGCATAAATAAATAAAAATAAATCTTTAAAAAAGAAAAAAAATCCTAAATCAATTTCTCTGAAAGTCAAGAAGTGATCCTACTCATCTTCTCTAAGTAATTCTAAAAGTGTCAGTTCCATCTAAAGGTCTTTCTAAATGCCCCAATTCTTTCTAGTTTAAGTAAAAATAATACTAATTTATGAAATTATCTGATAGAGTGACATGCCATCCCATTTAATCAAGTGGTAACATTGGGACATATGCCAGTACATCATTTGTAATTGACTGGATGGTGGCTGCATTCAGTTCTATGAGAAGCTGGGAGCTAGACTCAACAAGGCAAAAATAATTCTCCTATCTCATTTCTTATTAGAAAATCAAGCTTGAAATAAAATCATTGACTTATAAAGGCTTTCCCATAAAGCGAGACTTTGTTTTGTATGTTTCTGCTATAAATGCTCCAGGAGACAATATTTAATAGAAATGCCTGAACTGAGAAGTTCTCAAACTTTAAAGTGTGTATAGGACTCTAGAAGGCAGGTAAAAACAGACTGCAAGGCTCTACCCTCAGTTTCTAATTCTTTAAGTAGAGAATTTGCATTTCTAACAAGTTTTCAGGTAATGTGCCGATCCTGGGAACACATTTTAAAAACCACAGCTTTTGGACATTAAAACTTAATTCTCTTGTAAAACTCAGGCCAAGTGACTGAGAATGACTATAATGGTCAATATTTAAGTGTTTGTTGAATAAATGAACATAACGTAACCTATTAGGAGACCATTAAGGGTTTCTAGCAAAAATAAGTGTTACTACCAATCAACGTATGTAATTATAGTTAAATCAAAATTTCAAGAGTCCCTTAAATTTATATTGACTGTAAAGTATAAATCTCCTGAAAGCTAGCACCCCTTTTTTTGAGCAATTCTTCTCACTTAAGAGCTACCTGCATCATACAACATGTGAAAGTAGCAATTTTTCTCATGGCCAAAGAAATTATTTTTAAAGGCCTTTTTAGAGTTCTCCTGTAGCTTACAGAACATTATCTGCAGGTAAAACCTGTTTTAAGAACCAGAAACCATGTCTGCCACTTGGACTCAATGATACCCCACAATTAACTGTCATCAAAGGAAGAATGATATAAAATATACATAAAAGCAAAATTAAAAAAAGAAATTACCATCAGGCAAACTGCTTTTCTTTTCATAAATAAACATGGTGAGAAGCCAGTTCTACCTAAGTGGGCATTTTGTATGCCTCTTGCACATATAAACAAGCAATGTCTACAAGAGATTTCAGATGGTTTCAGATGTGGTTTTTCTTCCAACATTCAAGTAACAGCAGAAAAGACTCCCAGTGGACAGGTCGGTGGTGAGAATTCATAGCTTTATCACCCAGGAAAACAGAATCCATGCCAGGTAGGCTGACAGATGAAAGTGTTAGGGGGCAAACATGGGATAGTGAGGTTACCCAGGGAGAACTTCCTATGGCCACCAGGGCTGGAGGGACAGAGTGAGAAGTGAGGTTACCAGAGTCCAAGACTATCTTGTAGGAGCTGAGGCTGTGAAAGAGAAGTTGTTCAGAGAGCGCCTGGACCACAGAGAAAATGAAGCCCTATTGCAGATAGTCTGAGGCAGAGAGAGTGGGGAACAAATACCTCGGCTTCTGGCACACTCCTGCCAGGGTTTCTACTAACCAAACCTAACCAGAAGCCAGGTGCTGGGGGTATTTAGTCTGCAGGAGTCAGTCACTAGCCATACAAACAAGAAAAGGGTGGGAACTTTGGGAGCTAATATGTAAATGAAGGGCATAACAAAGGTTAATAAAATCCCAAAGAAGAGGACTTCCTTTTGATCAACTTGTTAGAAGCCACATGAAAAGAGAAAATTACATACTAAGGATGCCAGAAAGTGCCTACATGGCATGTTTGCATTTCAAATGCCATTTCCATTATAATCTATATTTATTCAGTGGAAATGGCGCCAAAATTATATCATTAAGTTTTAGAAAAAATGCCTTCATATCTTATTATTTGTAACATATGCGCTTCTTTTTAGAAATATTTCCAAGGTAAACAAATGTTTCCAAGGGGTAAAGCAAAGCTGGCCCACATTTGGTATAGGACAAAAAGAAACTAGATCCAGCTAACAATTGCTAGTAAAAGTAAAGAGTAAACTCTTGAGATTATAAAACATGCAGAAGATAATTCAATGTATAAATTTCAGTTATTCAGGACAAAATTCCGTTTTTCTCAGCAACACGATGATTATCATTAACAATATGTATCACTGTGCATATCCTTGGTCTGATGACTTTAAGAAGTAAATGTTTCACTTTTAGGAGGTTATCTCTCTTTATAAGCCCAGGGATCGAGAGTTTGCTCTTCATGTATGACACTAGTTACTAGATCAGTCAAGAGACTGCTGTATTACCCATAGCCTCCACTTTAGCAAACTCCACAGAAGAGGAAGAAATAGATTGTGCTACTCACACAAAAAGTTCTCTGACTTATTCTGTAAAATATGCCACCCTTCGTCAGCCACCGCTATGATTGGTTGAATCCGATTGTTGTATTTGTAATGCCATCTTTCTGGAATTTCTTCTTTTTTGTAAACAGTAAGATTGGGATGAGCATGAGCTAGTGCTTCATAGACTTCATCAAATTTACCTAAAAGAGAAAGGAGAAGGGGGATTATTCAGAACAAGAGGCCCACTGCTACAAAGAAACTACCACAGGCAGCAGAGTGAACTAGTCTTTCTTGATTCCCTCAAGGCAGACCCCTTACTAAGGTAAAACCTCAGCCAGCTGGACACAGTAAATACAGCCAGACACTTCAACACTCATTCCCTTTGAGGAAAGGAGATTGGGGGGCTGGCGGGGGGGGGAGAGTGGGAATGAAAATGTAAGTAAATTATCCTAACAACTGAGAGTACATTTTATAGAACCTTAAATGGCTAATCTCTAATTTAAAAACTCACACAAGCATAAATTAGAGGCACTGTGGGCCTCCCTAGTGGCCTAGGGGTTGTCTCAGCACTACCACCACTGTGGCCTGAGTTGTATCCCCAGTGTAGGGTAAGGAAAAATGTCAGGCTTTTCTGCCCTCCCGCCATCAGGATAGATGATGGATCCTTGTCCTGAATGCATGCCTGATGGCGGGCACCTGGAGTAGGGTGTGGGCGTAGGTAGATGGGATTCATCTGAGCTAAGACTGTGCTTTCTAAGGGCAGCGTCACGGGGACGCCAGCAGCAGCGGAAGTCAAAAGAAGAAGCCGAAGCAGAAGCCGAGAGAGAAGCAAAGAAGCAGAAGCAGAGAATGCCAGAGAGCCCAGAGAGAGTGAAGATTTGCTGGGGGCTGGGAGGACTGCCAGCCTCCCAGCCCCCCAGCACCCCTGCCGGCCATATGCCTGGTGAACCCCAATTAAAGACCTGCCAAAAACCCACTAAGGACTCTGACTCCTCCTTTACCCGGTCTGCATGGGATCCTAGAAAACATGCACCGTGTCCGTTCCTGACCCTACACCCGGCCAGGGAGCTAACCCATATATGGCACAGCAGACCTCTCCTGTCTCGCCCGCTGCTCCCCTCAGCAGTGTATTTCAGTCAGTCCGCCTGTTTTGCTCCCCACTCTGTCTCTGGTGAATTCTCTCACCCCCTCTACCTCTGATCTGCGCCCCAGCTCTTCTATGCACAAATAAATAAAATTTTTTAAAAATTAAAAAATTTTAATTAGTGGCACTAAGTAAAATGTCCAGCGCACTGTAAACAAAGAGCTAAGTTCCAGCAGTTATGAGAACAGAGTAGACAATCTCTACAGAAGAAAATATGGTAATGGAGGGTGAAGGCTGGGAGAGGACAAACTGGAGATGAACAGCAGCTTATAAAATGGAAGTTTAAAACCCTGGATGTGTGTAACAAAAGCACCCTCTGTGACTTCAAATTCAGTAGACAGGAATTATCCTTAATTTTTTCCTCCTTTTTCAAATCCATTTGTCCTCCCTGCCTCCCACATCCCAGGAAGGGAACACCATTCCACTCTTAAAAGGAAAATTGACTGGTTAATGTGGTTTTCTTAAGCAACAACAAAACACTTGCCATGTTATGGTGAAGATGTTAAAAAGTTGGTGCAGGCCCACACACATATTTTAACATTCACTGTTTTGTATGATGCTTTTAACTCTCCCATGAGGGATAGAACTCATTTGTGAAGTTTGTGAAGTATTCCATCTTTTCAAAATCTACCTTCTTATATGATACCTAACTAACTCCAGGAGGTGATAAAATAGAAGTCAGAATAGCAGGCCCAAGACTTGCTCTGCATTTACTTTGTGACCTGGGAATGTTAAACCTAGGGAACTTATTTGCCTGTTTCTCAAAATGAAATAATACCTGGTTGACAGGGTTCAAGATTTGTGAAAAATTTAAGGTATTGTTACTACTTTCCTACTAATACATTAGAGAAATAAACCTCAGATTGACTAACTCCTCTTCCTTCCTATATTCTAAGTGATTCCCTACTTGGCAGGTTCTACAGATGTCTTTAGGACTTCCATGCAATCACTCTAATTGCACGCAAATTCTCTGAGAAATTGAATTTTCTGAGAAAGGGGCTATAACTTTTATCATTGATATAATCGATGATTACAAAATGGTTCAACTGGACTGCCATTAATATAAAGCAGCAATTTCAATATTTTAGGAAAAAAATAAAAAATTAGACTCTCAGAGATTTTTGCCTTTTCAGAGTCTAAGGATTAAATTCCATAATATTAACATGACGCAAACAAGCACACTTTAAAGGTCCCCCACTCAATCACAGTGGGCAAATACAAACCTAAGTCTGAGTACACAGGTCGTACTCACCTTCTTTAGGCAAGATGGCTGCTACTGGAGATTGATCAATCAGGGTATAGAGGTCTTTATCCACATACCGGTCTAGTTCTATTACCCTTTCTTCAGAACACTGAGTCATTCCGTGATCACTTGTGATGATTAGATTCAGCATGTTCCACAGCTTTGCCTTTTTCAGCATTTGTATGAGATAGCCTAACTTGTTGTCAATATCTGAAATGACAGGCCCCATCAGAGGACTGTCAGGTCCCAAACGGTGCCCCATGTCATCAGGATCTTCCCAATAAAGAAGGCCAAGATTTATGGGCTCCTTGGACGTAAACCACTCAATAACTTTGGCAACTCTATCTTCAAATGAGATGGACTCATTGTAAGGCAGGTAGTGAGTAGGAAAGCTCTTATGGATTTTCACATCTGCTCCGGGCCACATGGCCGCACCACTGGAATGTCCTGCCCTCTGATTTGTGATCCATATTGGTGTTGCTTCTTCCCAAAACTCAGAATCATAAACATTCATGTGATCCAAGGAAAAAGATTTGTTCAGAATAGGATCAAACATATCATTTGCAACAATCCCATGATTTTCTGCAAAGAGGCCAGTTACCAAAGTATAATGATTAGGATAAGTCTTAGTAATAAAAATATTAGTAACTTGTTTTACATGAACACCGTAATTCATAATATAATGAAAATGGGGTGTTGGAACTCTATATAAGTAATCCCAACGGAATCCATCAAATGAAACTAACAGAACCTTTTGCTGGTTTGGTGGGAGAGCAAATGTAATTGAAAGTGTTAATGCAGCAAGTATGAAGGACACCCAGAGAAGTTTTGAAGTCATTTTCTAAGTACTTGATCAGTTCACTGGAAGATAATCTGTATAAAAAAACATACAGAAGTTAATGGCAACAATTTTGTTTTCTATACTTTACCCAAAACTGAAAGTGATGATGCTTAGTAATTCCTATTATAAACTGCAGCCTAGAAGTATTATGTCGCATAACTTCATCTTAAACAAGAGACCTGGGGCTACCTGTACGATAAAGAGGTTAGTTGTATTTTAGAAAACTTTTTACCTTTTAAATCATGAAAAATTCCTCAAAGGAACTATTTAAGTAAGCTCTCCAAATATTTCAAAGTGTGATATAATCCACATGCAATTTTTTTTAGAAATAAAAAATTAGAAATAAAAATTTAGAAATAAAAATTTCAGTTGACCCACTCTTCTATTTACTCAACCCAACCAAGGCTTTATGTTTGGCTCATCATATTAGAGAAGACATTAGAGAGGAGAAAATAGATAAATTTGGTTTCTTGAAGTGACATAAAGTTTGTGACATTCAAATATATTTGTGAAATGCAATCTGCATTCATTTATTAGTAATCAAAGTATAGATGCCTTTAAACTGAACCATTAGGGGTTTCCCCAGTGGCACAGCAGGTTGAGTGGGGCACTGTGAAACTGTCCAAAACCTCTGCAGCGCCTGTTCAATTCCAGGCCAGCCAGGGAGATACCCACATGGCGCAGCAGACCTCTCCTGTCTGGCCCACTGCTCCCCACTCTATCTCTGGTGAATTCTCTCACCCTCCTACACCTCTGGCCTGTATCCCAGTGCTTGTATAGATAAATAAGTCTTTTTAAAAAATAAACTGAACCATTAGATGTTTAGTTTGATCTCCCTAACATTAAAATTTGTCAACATTTAATCTTATATGTAAAAAGGCACTTTACTTGGTTAAATAATCTCTTTGGATCAAAGTAGTTGTTTCTTAATCTGCATATACTTCTAAAATGTTTTTATTTCTATTGAAGAAAGGTAAGAGGCAATCTGGGCAAACAATACATATGAAGATTCTGTCAGTTCCCACTGGGGATGCAAATCAAGCCAAGATCTTTTGTTTTCTTCAAGTCCATTCCTTCATAAAGGTACTTATAAACCCTCCAAAACTTGAATTTTAACTACTAGGTGCTAAGAAAGCTCTTGAATTCTGCTTTGACCACTTCCTACTTTGAATGTACTGAAGATATTTTTAAACCTCGAAAACAAACCAGAACCCCACTACTTGCAACACCTGATTTCTCCTCTCGCTTAGTAAATTATTTCAGCAACTGTAGAAAGCAGGAAGGAACTGCTTTTCTAGGACAAACAAAACAAACAATGACTAAGTGTAGTCTAAAGCTCAGGAATATTTGGTAAAATGAATCCACATTATCATATCTATTACATAAAACGAGAAACACAGAAGTGGGGGTGGGGAAGAAAGAAATCTTAAGATTTCCTTCCCACGCCCCCCTCCCCGCGCCCACGAGCCCTAAATGCTGCACAGAACAGCAGAATCCATAATTTGGGGTCCGGATTTCACGGGGCTGCTTGCCAGTTCCTCCTCCCCTCCAAAGCTCCGCCGACAGCCAGCCAGGGAAATCTGGAAGGAAGGAGCGCCTGGGCGACTTAGAGGGAAAATGGAAGCGCTAACACACGCCCGAAAGAAGGGGGTGCCTGCCCCATCCTCTCCACAATTTCATCCTAGCCACTGCGAAGCTTCGCCGCGCAGGGTACCGTTCGCAATTCGCAAACCTACCTCTCCCCTCTCGACACCCCCTTCGCCCCCACACAAGGCAGGCAGAAGCCCCGACGTGGGCTTCGCGTGTGCGCGGTGGGAACGGGGAAGGGCAATCTGGGGGACCCACAGGAGCCACGAGAATCCCCGGGAGGCAAGCGGCCCCCTCCCCTGGACTCTTACCCTCACAGCGACCGAAGCGTCCACATCGGCTGGGGGCAAAGAGAAGGAAGGGTCGGAGGGTGCTTCCTCTAGAAGACCCCGTGCAATGGCAGGCAGGTAGCGGGAGCAGCGGGCGCCCCTTGAACCCGCAGCCGCTCACCTGCACGCAACCAGGGCGCAGAGCACCTGACCAGCAGCGCCTCCCCACCGCAGCCCCGCCTCTTGGCTCCCATTGGCCGCGGTAGGAGCGTTACCTCTGCGGGGGTTGCCGAGCGAAAGCCGGCCTCCTGGAAGTAGCTGTCCAGCCTGTCGATCAACGAAATACAGGGCGGGTGCAGCCTGGGTGCAGCGAGATAGCTGGGGAGTGCAGCTGCAAGGGGCGGGAGCAAAGGGCGGGAGGGTCGCGGGCTGGAGGCCTGAACTTTTTGGAGGCGCGAGCCTCTGGGCTGTGTGTTCGCTGAGGCTTGACCTGGTGGCAAAAGCTTCCAACTGTGTGCGTTTACTAGACGGGCAGTTGTGCTGTAGTCAGAAATACACTTTAGCAGAGAGATGAAATGCTTGCCCAGTAGTGTCTATGCTCTAACTTTAATCGTTTTTATTAGGAAACCACTTTTATGCTCTCATCTACTGTCCTCTTCTGTGTTTTATTACAAGTGGGCGATGCAGTATCCTGGCCTTTGCTCTTAAGGAACTCCTGACTGAACACTGGAGGATGTCAGTGAGACAATGCAATTTTCTTTAGGTTTTGTTTTATTTTTTAATCAGTTGTTGTTGGTACCAGTTTTACTCCGAAAATTTTAATTAGGATTTTTCAGGCAACTTCGCAGCGCCAATGTTTGTCCAGGTTTTTGCAGCACGAGATCTCTAAGGGGCCTGCAGCATACCAAATGCGTTACCTAAGAATGCACAAATGAAACCAAGTCAGGCTCAGGAGTAGCTTGGTTTGCACTGGGAGAGACTGAAAACTGATCTGAAGTTTACCTCTAGGCTCTAAACTCAGTTTCTGGCTTTGTTTTTTAAAAATGCAGTGAAACTACCAACTTCAAGTCTGATTTCTGATCCCAGAAGTCTTTTGGTTTGTTAGTGGCCATTTCTTCTGTTGCTGTATTGTAGTGGATTAATTTTTAGAGTTTTTTTATCATCCATGGGATTTTTATGCTGGAGACAGCAAAATTACAGGGGATTTAATCTCAGCTCTATGTTCTCTTGAAAGGTTTGTCCTTCTACACAATTCCCAGGCCTAATATTTTATTTGTTACTTAATTGTATTTTTATTTTTTAAATACTAGCATAATTTTAATAGTTTACAGAAATTTTGCTATAAATTTTCTATTCCATTCTCTCCACCTCTTTATGATCATATAAATGATATCTTTAATGCACACATCCATGAATACAGTTCAATAATGATTGATTTATGCAACTGTATTTTAAATCAGATGGGGGTAGAAAACTTTAGTAAAAACACATTGATAGTATCTTTTGTATATAGTTGCCTAGGTAGTTAAATTCACCCTGGAACTTACATGGCTTCTGGTTTTAATCATGTCTTTTCATTTAGAATTTCTATTTATTGAGCTAATGTTGTTTTATAGCACTGCGTATGATTCAGGGAAATAGGTTCACATGTATTCAGATGAATCACCACACTTCCACACACCACCAGAGCACCCACATCCCTTTACCGTATAACCACTAGGCCTCTTCCTTCATTTCTACACCCACATTTCTTCCCCTCTCTTAGCCTCACTTCTACAGTCATATTTCTAGACTTTGTTGTGGTTTAGTTTTTTTAGTTCCTTTTTTTTTCTTTCTCTCTATTCCACAAATAAGTGAAATCATCCAGTATTTGTCTTTCTTCCTCTGGCTTATTTCACTCAGCATAATTCCCTCTAGTTCATTCCATGTAGTCACAAACAGCAAGAGTTCATCTTTTTTATAGCTGAATAGTATTCCACATGTATATGCACCTCTTCTTAATCCACTCCTCTATTATTGGACACTTAGGTTGTTCTATTACTTGGCTATCATAAGTGGTACTGCAGTGAACATAGGAGGTGGATATATTCCTTTGAGTTAATGTTTTTGCATTCTTGTGATATATGCCAAGGAGTAGAACTGCTAATTCTTGACCACCTTGCAATGGCAATATATCTGCCTGGTTGTGAAAACTTAAGTTTTAACATTTAATTATCCCATTAAACTGAGGCTGAAACCATGACTTTGGCTCCTGTCTGGAGTTCACTTATACCCTGTGTGGTGTACTGGAAAGCATTCCTGTTGATATTTAATGAAATGAGGCAAACATTTTGGTCATAATTGTTTCTCTTTCAGCTTCTCCTAGAGGGATAATCCTTATCCCAATGGCTCCCTGCTAATTGCATCATTCCATCCCAAAGCACATCTAGCTCTTCAATGGCCTTTTATTTGTAGTAACTTGAGTTATTGACTTTCCACATGTGGAATGGGGATTAAGAAGGAGGCTAACTTCTATGTTTAGCCAGTCTCAGTGACGCTGAAGTTGTACAAGTTGTTCCAAGTCCCCAAAGCCCTGTCCTTTGAAATTGCCCAAATGTGGAACCTCATGGTCCAGTATTATATGTCCCTGTCTCCCCAAAATAGACCAACCCTGTGTTCTCCCAAAGCAGTCAAAAGTACAACTTCTGCTGATCAGCAAGCGGGAGTATTGAAAATGGGCCTTTTATATGCATCACTGAACATTGTTGAACTCTGTTCAGATGATACTCTACCTTGCCATGCAAACCTTTTATAGAATGCATGATTGTATTCACCAACACCCCCTGTGAAATAGGCAGAGTACAGCTGTTAACCACAGCACACAATATGGAAAATGACTCATGAAGGGCTCAGAGAAAGCCAAAGACGATTCTAGATCTCCTTATAATGGCACCTAATGTTCAACTGGTAGGCTTTACATAACTCATGTTGCTAATGGTAAAACTATGATTTAAATAGTACAGATAGAGATGATTGTAAAAGCATGGCACTCTTGCTTACACAACTCTACCAAACTGTACATCAATTTCTGTCCCATTGCAATAACCACTTAGCAACTTACAGCAGTATAAGCCATATCCTGTTATCAATAGTAGCTATTTATTTTATATTATTGAAATAATGTAATCATCATTGAGCTAGTAATATTTTTCCAAAAAATGAAGTATCGAAAGAATCAACTTTGTTCCAGGGTTTTGTTCATTCCATGTTGTCACAAACAGCAAGAGTTCATCTTTTTTATAGCTGAATAGTATTCCTCATGTATATGTACTCTTCTTAATCCACTCCTCTATTTTTGGACACTAGGTTGTTTCTATAACTCGGCTGTCATAAGTGGTACTGCAATGAACATAGGGGGTGCATACAGGGAGTTCTTGTGCCTGCCCGAGGAAGGCTAATAGGTGTTTGAGAGTCAGTTTATGTTCTTCCTCAGGAGCTGGAAGAGGTTTGTGCTAAAACTGATATATGATCAGTTCTTATGAAATAATCAACACTGGATCTGCCACAGAAGTTTTGTTTTCAGAACTAGTCTATACCTTAGGGAAGGGAAAATAAAACAAATTATTTTACAATTTAAAAAAATCTTTAGGTTGTATTACATTATATCACAAATAACTAACATGAAAAAAACTTTATCTTTTAAACCTGGTAAAGGACTATGGGTGCTTTGGTGGTAGGTCTGGTGTGGTTACATACATCTGAAGGGGTGTGAACCTGTTCCCCCAATTCATCTATGGTGTTGTAAACCAATGTCACCTCCATACAGACTGGATGTCACATGTTCAACAGTCACAAGCTAGGGACCATTGTGACTCTGATTCTGGATTGATCTTAATTTAGAATTATTAGCAGAAGTTCAGTCCAATTAGTGAAAAGTTGAATTATAGATTATTCAAAGATTTTGTCTAAGCATATTAGTCATTTAGGCAGCAAATGATATATTTATACTATTTAGGAGTACATTTTCACACCACAGCTATGCTGTTTTTATTCTCAGGAAGGTTTTTGTAAGCAAAATATAACCATATATGCTTTTTAGTATTGTATTCTATGAATATGTTCCTATTATAATTTTTCCATGCACTACTGTAACAAACAACCATGAACTGGGTGGCTTCCAGCAACAGAAATGTATTCTTTCACATTTTTGGACACTGGAAATCTGAGATCAAGTTGTTGGCCGAGCCACACTCTCTTCAGAGACTCTAAAGAAGATTCCTTACTTGTCTCATTTCATTCTTATGGCTTCTGATGTTCCTTTGTTTGTTATAGCACAGCTCCAGACACTGCCCCATATCACATGGTGTTCTCTGCTGGATCTCTCTGTGTTCACATGACATTCTGATGAGGACACCAGTCATTAAAATTAGGGCCCACTTAAATCCAGGATGACCTCATCTAAATTTAGCTAGTTTCATCTGAAAAATTCTCATTTCCAAAAATGATCACATTTTGAGGGTTCAGATGATTGTGAATTGGGGGTTGGGGTGGGGCATTATTCAACCTGGTACACATAGCTAGCAGAATTTTGTAGCTCAGCCTACAACAAAAGTTCATGAATTGCTATTAAAATGGCTCAAAGCAAGAAAATGACAACATCTAATGCTGACACTACACAGAGCAGCTGCAGCCTACACATGGTGTGTGAAATGGTATGACCACATTGGAAAAACAGTGTGGAAGTTTCTTATATAATTAGACATGCATTGATCCTATAACTCAAAATTCTTCTCTAACATACTTATCCAAGAGAAGTGAAGAAGATACCTTCTGAATATCTTGTAACATATGTTTGCAGCAGCTTTTCATAATCCTTAAGAGCTAGAAGCAATCCCAATGTCTTCAATTATGGATAAACAATTTTGGTGTATCCAGAAATAGAATACTATTCAGCAATCAGAGGGCTGACATGTACAACATGGGTGAATCACAAAGGCATTGTTAAGTAGAAGATGCTAGATGCACATGGCTATGGACATTTATATCATATTCAAGAAAAGACAAAATGATGGGGACAGAAATCAGATTGGTGGTTTCTCGGGTTGGGGGTTGAGGGAAGAGACTGGCTCAAAGGGGCACCAAGGAACTTTCTGATATGAGGGGATTTTGACAATGATGGTGATTGCATGACTGTGTAAATTTGTAAAAATTCAGAAACATGTACACCTGAA